CGACACACCGTATCGTTCTCTTCGTACTGAAGAAGAACAAGGACCTTCGCTTGTGCATTGACTATCGCAAGCTCAACGTGCAAACTGTCAAGACTGTGGGGCCTCTTCCTCATACTAACGATTTTCTTGAGTGTTCGGGCAGCGTAAAGTATTTTTCCGAATTGGATTTGAAGTTGGGCTATCATCAAATCTCAATACGCCCGCAAGATCGCTACAAATCCGCGTTCAAGACGCGATACGGACACTTTGAGTGGGTTGTCATGCCTTTTGGCCTCACCAATGCCCCGACGACTTTTCAAGCGGCAATGACCAACGAGTTTCGCGCGATGTTGGACCAGTTTGTGTTGGTCTACTTGGACGGCATTCTCTTCTATAGCCGGACCTTGGAGGACCATCCCGAGCATCTTCGACGTGTGCTGGAGACACTTCGCAGCGCCAAGTACAAAGCCAACTGCAACAAGTGTGAGTTTGTACATCAAGAGTTGTTTTTCACACCGAAGGGCATTAATCCCTTACTAGACAAGATTCAAGCCATCCAAGAGTGGTCGGAGCCGAAGACTGTTATGGATGTCCGCTCATTTATCGGCCTAGCCGGCTACTACCAACGCTTCATCAAAGGTTATTCGAAGATCGCAGCTAACTTGACCAAGCTTCAATGCAAGGACCGGCCGTTCAACTTCGACGACAACGCACGGGCTTCCTATTTGGCCCTCAAAACCGCCTTGTTATCTGCGATGGTTATACGCATCTATGACCCGCTTTTGCCAACGCGCGTCACTACCGATGCGTCCATATATGGCATTGGTGCCGTCCTCGAGCAACAGCGTGGATTGGCACCCAGTCGAGTACTTTAGCAAGAAGGTGTCCGTCATGCACTCGATTGACGACGCACGGAAGGAGTTGTTGGCCTTTGTACAAACATTTAAGCGGTGGTGGCATTTTCTTTTTTTGGTCGAAGTCAATTCCGATGGGTAATGAATAACTATCCCTTGGTCTTCTACGAGACGCAAGACACGGTCAATAGAACCATTGCCCGTTGGATGGCCTTCATCGACCAGTTTGACTTCTTCCCCGATCACATCCCGGGAAAGTCAAAACCGATCACGACGGTAATGCTGATGATGATGATACTGATTTTGAAGATGATAATGGTGATGATGATGACGATGATGATAATGATGATGACGACGACAACGACCACGCACACAATGACGTCAGTGTTGCTGCTGGTGATGATACCGACCAACCTTGATGATGATGATGACGAGCATCAGCGACGCCCAGACCTTTGTACCACGGTCAACTTGACGTTTGACATTGACGACGACTTGCGGGACAGCTTCGGCCGCAGCTATCAAGTCGACCCTGAGTTCGCGACAAATATGCGAATTGCTCTTCTCCAAATTTGGCGCCTTCGCATTATCGGATCCAAGAGGGCTACTTATTTGTCCACTCGTGGGGGAAGGATCTTCTTTGCGTGCCAATTGATCCACACTTGCGTATGCGGCTTCTTGGCAAGTTCCACAATGCTGCCACCGAACACTTTGGAGTCGATCATACGCTTGGCCAACTTCGCGAGTGCTTTTGGTGGCCCGTCCTTCTCAGCGATGTCACACGCTATTGCGAGTCATGCGAGGTTTGTCGGCGTTGTAAATCCCACAAGCATCATCCGTTCGACGAATTGCGACCATTACCAGTCCCCTTAGGACGATCGGAATCGATTGCCATGGACCTCACCGGCCCATTCCCCAAGCACAAGACCGGCATGGATGGGATTCTCACGGTGATCGATCGACTCACCAAATTCGCCGTTGTTTTGCCTTGTTGCTATCACGCCAAGGCACCGGGATTGGCCGAGGTTCTTACGCCGGTTGGATTCGCACCAAGGGTTACCCCAAGGAGACCGTTTGCGACCGCGGCATTCGGTTTGGGTTAGTCTCCTCAAGCGATGGGGCTCATCTCTCAAGCCGAGTTCGGCTTGCCACCAGCAAATCGATGGCCAAACGGAGAGGGCACGTCAAACCGCACAGGTTCTTCTTCACACTCTCATCCGTTCCGACCAAAAGGATTGGGTTTTGAGTGGCTGCAGAACGTCGAGTTAGCTAACAACTCGTCCATTCATCCGGCTATCGGGATTTCGCCCCTCGAGTTCGAGCATGGCTCGCCGGTCGCATCGTCGTTGGACACTATCATTCCACGGACAACTGAGAGCGACCACCACCTCGCCTTCATTTGATGGATGCAAGAGCTCCTTGTCACGACACGAGACCAGATGTCAAAGACGCAGCTACGCATGAGTTGTTAAGCCAATCACCAGCGTCTTCCTTGCCCGTTCCTCGCAGGCGACCTAGTTTGGGTCTCCACGCCGGAATTCAGCCTCGAGCAAGATATCTCTCAAGCTCCTTCCAAAATGGATGGGGGCGCATCGTAGCGTCCGCTGGTGACACACCGGAAGGACCCTCATTTGTCATACAGGTGACCGCCCACTTATCCGTCTACCCGATCTTTCATTGTTCAAAGTTCGCCCTTTTTGTTTCGGAGGAACGCGACGACTTTCCCAGGCGACGATCGCAAGACCCACCCTCCATGGATGGTTTCAGGAGGTCGGCAACATCATTTCGCAGCGGCGCTATGGCAACAAGCCAACGAAGTACTTGGTACAGTTTTCCTATTGTAGCCATAAGGCTGACCGTTGGTTTACCCGTGCGGAACTCCAGGCTACGGCCCCCGACGTTCTTGCACGTTATGAACGCAAACAGCAAGGCAAGTCGGCACCTTCGGCTCCACGCCGTACTTGCGTTCAGGTTCCATCATCCAATCGTCAGCTTCCCCCTCGACCCGGCTTGACTTCATAAGGAGGGGGGGTTGTGAGATGCTGAGCCTGCACACCGGCCCCATTTCGGGGGCCCGATGGTTGCTGGGGGGCCCCAGGCCACACGCCATTCAGGCATGCGCCTTGGAGGCCCACGGCCCGCCTCTGGCCCGCAGGGTTCAATTTGAGGCAGCATTTATTTATTTAATTATTTGCTGTTCTATTTTTCTGTTTCAGGCATCATTTCGGACTTGCAGTGCGTCCGAACAGACTTACAGTCTGTTCGGACCAAGGCTGTCCAGTTTCGTCCGGTAGCAGACACTCCCTGCTGCATCAGCAGGGAGGGCCTGGACATCCGGTAGGGACCCAGGCAGGCCATTTCAGGCCAGGACCAAGGGCACACCAGCCAGGCCCAACGCTATAGATAGCTGGGCCAGACCAGTGCTCCACGCACAGTTCAAGTAGCTCACTTCTTGGGTGACATGCTGCTGGAGCAGCGTGACACAGCGCTGCATTAGAGATAGAGGTGTAGGTAGAGAGAGAGGCAGTGGCCATACCTGCATCGGCAGCGTACCTACCTGGGCGCCATAGCTGGACTTCTCGCCGGCGACCTGCAGCACAGAGAGAGAGAGGGGCACGCCAGCGCATTAGTACATGGCGACAGTTACCTGCAGGTGAGACAGAGAGGAGGACGACATCTTCTTCCTCTTCCAATTCTTGCCCACCATCTCTTCTTCTTCTTCTTCTTCTTCTTCTTCTTCTTCTTCTTCTTCTTCTTCTTCTTCTCCTCCTTCTTCTTTCAGAGAGAGAGAGAGAGAGAGAGAGAGAGAGAGGTAGGTTACAGTCAAAGGTTATATTGGGCTATGAGGCCTAGGATCTAATTCGACATTTTTGCGGCAGACATTAATTGGACATGGCAGGGAGACTTCTTGGACTTCGCTATCGCGATCTTGGTCTCCTCCCTCATCTCCATCTTCGTCTCGCCCTTCCTCCCTCACTCATCCATGGTATTTCCCCGTGTGTTTATCAAAGGAGGGACCTTTCTTCTATGCGTGCGGTCCCTCCACTCTCACATGTGTGGTGTGTGATGGGCTCAGTCACGTCAGTATCTGACAGGCCAGGTCATATCTTTGAGTCTTCCGCTGCGCCACATTGTGCTATTTTTGTATGTATCTGGATGTACATTGCTTGTTGATGCTTCGCTGATGCTGCATTGTCCATTTGAGTCCTTTCCATCACTTTGAGGATCCTTGTCTCCATTTACATCGCTCGATCGAGCATGTACCAGTCAATCACACCGTACCTGCTACCGTCTTTACTCGAATACGCCGCCTGGTCACTATATAGCTGTAGCTAGGCTGCAAGTGGCCAAAGTTCAGTGCTACTGACTGGGCATTCGGGTAAAAGCGGTGGGCAGCCACAGAAAATGAAGAGAAGCGGAAAGAACCACGACGGGCAAAAGTTAGGAAGACGCCGTCAATAAAGCAAGGCAAGACTAAAAAGAGTTAACCGGGAAAAAAAAAAGAAAAAAAGAACAAGAGTCAACCGAATTGTTTGGAATCTAGGAAGAAAGCAGGAGAGGTAATTTCAACGCATCGCTACAACTTGTTGACCAGCATGTACGCAAGAATGCGGTAGGTAAGAAGTGGTTAGCCAGCAGAGAGGTGAAAGCCTGGGCAGGGAGAAAAGTGGAGAAGGGGGAGGCAGAGAGAGACAGGAGGGTCAAGCGGAGAATGAAAGAAGGTGGAGGGGGGGGAGGAGGGGGAGGAGGGGGGAGGAATGGTGAGCATGGAAAGAAGAAAGATACTTGGTGCAAGACATGCAGAAACATATAGAACAGAAAAGAAGAGCAGGGAACTCCACAAAAGAACAGGTCCGGTAATAAGCCAAAAGAGACTGGGAAAGAGAAAGAGAGAAAAGGAGGGAGAGATGGAACAAGGAAGAGGGGAGGGAGCGGGGGGAGGGAGGACAGGATTCGATGTGTGACTTAAAACGACAGAGAGAACGATAGTGAGCAAGCGAGTGAGCGAAAGAGAGAGAGAGAGAGAGAGAGAGAGAGAGAGAGAGAGAGAGAGAGAGAGAGAGAGAGAGAGAGAGAGAGAGANAGAGAGAGAGAGAGAGAGAGAGAGAGAGAGAGAGAGAGAGAGAGAGAGAGAGAGAGAGAGAGAGAGAAGGACAAGGGACTACTAGCTCTTTTGCTCCTTCATTGTTGCTGCACAAGCAGGACATGCGGGAACGGCTAGAACGTAATAGAAGAGGGAACTGCAGAAAGAATAGGTCCGGCAACTGGTCCAAGAAGACCAGGACAGAAGAAGAGAGAAAAGAGAGAGAGAACAAGGCACAGGGAGGCTGTAAGGAGTAAGGGATTACATCAAAGACATGAAATGGTAGATAGATAGATATATAGACATAGAAAGCACAGAGAAAGAGAGAGAGGGAGAGAGAGAGAGAGAGGAGGACAAAGAGACGTCTACTTCTTTCGCTTCTTCATAGTTGTTGCACAAGTGGGGCAGTACCATTTTCCCTTGGGTCGATCATCACTGCTGGTCAATCCTACACATTCAAAATGAAACCACTCAATCTTACAAGAGGGATTGTCACAAGCAATCATTTCACCATAAGACACCTGATTGCAGAGGCAATAGGTAGGTTCATTGGGATCAACAGGAAGGTCTAGATCCAGATGAACCATCCTGGTCACGGTGGCAGCTCCTCCTCCTCCTCCTCCTCCTCCTCCTCCTCCTAACTCTGCTCCTCCAGCTTCTCCTGAAAGTCCCCCTGCACCCCCTCCTTCTCCCACTGCCGCAGCTTTACTCCCATCCGTTCCATCACCAGTAGGTCTTCCAAGGAAGGCTAGCATCTTCATGTCCGTCGCCGCATCGCCGAGAAACTCCCTCTCTTTCTTCAACTGCTCCTCCAGCTTCCTCATGTCCTTATCCAACCTCCTTATGTGGCCATCTACCAAGTCATAGGTCTTCATGGCAAGTGTGACCTTTTCATTCGCAAGTTTCATACCGAGAATCTGGTCTCGTTCGATCGCCGCCGTCCGCTCTGCCACTATGGCTGCTGACTTGTGGTCCCCACCACCTCCCTCTCCCCCAAACCTCGCATTTCGGGCCATCACTTCTTCCAGACGCAGCGTGCACTGCTCCGCGATGTTCTGATGAAGTTCCTGTGACCTGCAGTCGAGAGCTCGTATCCGGAGGAAATTCTGCTGCAGCTCTCCTGGCAGGCTGGCCACACTGTCCATATATTCCTTCAGGTAGGTGGTTGGTGCAGATCCCGTTGGAGATTTCGCTGTCCCGGCCGAAGAAGACGTCATTATCACAGACAACAAACCACCCACCCTTCCCAACAATCACCCAAAGAATGCCCCGGGGGGAGGGGGCAGGATATCAATGTCAAAGCCTTGCTGCTGAGGGCTCAAAAGGCATGATCGGAACTCGTTTTCCGATTAACAATTGACATCAACCGGCGGATCCATGGACAAGGGTCCGATTAACAATTGACATCAACCGGCAGATCCATGGACAAGGGTAAGGATAATTTCACCAGGGATAAGGATACGGATAATGTCAGCAGGGACAAGGATAATGGATAATGTCAGCAGGGATAAGGATAATCCAAATCACAGTCTTGCCCCTGGGCTGAAAAGGCAGGATGGAAACTTTTTCCCCGTTTAAGACTTGGCGTCAACAGCCAGATGGATGAGGATAAGGACAAGATGAGGATAAGGATAAAGATGAGATAAGGATAAGGATAATGTTAGCAGGGATACGGATAATCCACGTCAAAGTCTTGCCACTGGGCTGAAAAGGCCAGATCGCCACTTTTTTCCCGTTTAAGACTTGACATCAACAGCGAGATGGATAAGGACAAGATAAGGATAACGATAACGATAAGGATGAGGATAGGGATAAACCATGCCTGCGGCACAACTGTGCGGTGCGCCATGCGGTGCGGTGTGGTGCGCTGATCACCGATGAGCAAAAAAAAAATTCAAAAATAAAAAAGAAAACAAAAAGAAAAGAAAGAAAGAAAGAGACAGCGGCCGTGATGTGTGAAAACTTGTGTTCGTGGGCGCAAAAG